GTGGTTTAAAAAACTCATTGTGGAATTGAGGGGTGAAGTTTCATTGATTAGGTCTGGGGCTCGGTTTCCACCAGCTGGGAAATACCTACATAAGAAAACTCTCTGAAATAAGGAATGTTTCTGAAACTGGCAAAAGTTAAAATTGCTGTGATCTTCTTTGACCTAATCTACTAGGAATTTGTGTGGATTTACTTCCCTCAGCACAGCAGTCTTGTGTCAATAATGTTGGCATGAACATATGGAATGAAGTTGATTTTCAATAAACAGCCAACAGGTCCATCAGGATGGCAGGTGAGAGCCCCCTCTAACAACACTCCACCTTTCCTCTAGAAAAAAAGAATTCATGTCACTCCAACAGTGAGGGTTTTTTTTTTATTTTTGCTTCATTAAAATTAACTGTACAGCTGGGCTATATTTGTTGTCCATAACAATTTGCACTATGCCATTTTCTTGTTTAGTTAAAACAACTGGCAGTAATAAAATAAGGGCAGGTGAATGTGTTACTATGGTTCCTGTTCATAGTGCAGAATAACAGGCACAGAAAGAGCACAGAGACAGGAAGGTCACACTCCTTGCCAAGGAAATTTATATCTTTTAATTCAGATTTTGGTGTTAGTTGAATTGCTCTTTCCAATCATCCTTTGCTATGTGACTGTATCTTCAATTGCATTTTTTGCTTTCTTTTTTCTAAATGTTATGTGTCTAAACCCAGAAAGAAGAGCATTCCAAAGTCATGGGATGTGGCAGATACAACCTCATTCAAACCTTCTTGGAAATGAAAAATCTGTCTGGCTTGGGGTTTTGACTGCTACCTGTGATGCAGAGAGAAGAAAAGCAGCAAGTGTTCTTACAGTTCCTAATTTATCATTAGTGTAGTCTGCATCTGCTTTTGGTCAGATATTAAGCAAAGTAACATTTTTGTAGTAACATTTATTTCCTCATGAAGTGGAAGTTCACTGTGCGACTATGGTTGGCTAGCCAAATGCTTCCACTCCCCAGCTGCCTCGTCCCACCTATCCCAGTAAGGGCCAGGAGCACACACCTGTCTCCAGAGACACTAGGCACAATCCCTTCACAATCCCTCCACCTGACATGTTGTTGTTAGTATAAGGAGCACTGCAGGTGCTAGAAAAGATCAGCAATAAGAAGATGCTTTACTGGTAAATATAAAAATGAAGGGCCTTGTTTCCCCAGTCTGTTCAAAACGGCCTTCACGCTAGCAGGTGTGCATTCCTTGGACGTATTTAATCTTATCCAGTACACATTTAGACTACAGTGCTGCAGCAGGCAGAACCCAAGCCATGGATTTACCTTTTTTCCCCCTTCTGCTATTCACATGTATGTTACTGATTTCATCCAAGTCATTCACACTGGAAGGGATCACTCAAGCCAAAGGAAGGAAGCAAGAGAAACTTTTTTTGAGATATCATGCACAAATAGGAAGTGTTTGACTTTTGGTATAAATTAGTTATATTATATAATATGACTATAATATGTTAGCAAAATATAATATAAACAAAGTCTCCCTTCAATTTTAGCATACAATTTCTACCAATAAACTGTGGTCTAAGGAAAGCAACACAGTAAAGAAATATCATTCTTTCTCAGTTCTGCTTGAACATTCTGATAGCCAAGGATACACAAAAATTCCCTTTGTTATAAATAGTATTTAATTTTTGTTTCCCCAGACTGGAGATATTGCACATCCTTTCTGCCCTTTCATCCAGTTATTGATCCACCTTATCAGCCCTACCTCAGTCATACTGGATGGAGTCAAAGAGACTTCCAGGAAGAAAAACTGTTACCTAAATGAGGACGACGAAAAAAGTTTCTCACTTTCCTTCTTACTTTACTTCATTCTCTTTCTTCAAAAAAGTTCAAAAAGTTCAAAAAAGTCTTTCTCCCTGAAAAAATTCACAGACACTTCAGCGAGGAGACAGAATAGTCTGCTGCAGCACTTGCAGAGAACAAGCAATTACGTAGCACTATCACCTGCCAGAATAGACAACACAGATCCAGATGGACTTACCCACCTCTAACTGGCTCTGCAATACAGACCATGTGAAAATGTTGATAAAAAAAGGCCCAGATATATTTTGTTGTTAATCATCTTGAAGGCTACAGGCAAAACTGAAATGATTAGCAAAAGAAATTTGACTGCTCCGCACGCAGCTTTCAAGCATATATTGGCTAAACTTACATAGTGGCCCTGTCATCTCTAAGTCATTCCACGACATATAGAATATTTCATGCCCCTCTATCCCTTTATTTAAGTGAATTTATGGAGTATTTATGCATGCATATGAATGTCAATTTTTTAAAAAGTTTATATACAATCACGCTGAAATCAGCTGCTAAAGAATATGGCCAGTTTGGTTTTCTTCCCAAGCTTCCTAAGAGTTATACCACAAATTAAGTCTGTTTCCCAGAACAGTTTAGACAGTTTGCCTTGATCTAATAAGATGGAGATCAGTCCAGAAATAAGCTAAAATTCCCATTGTCTCTGTAGACATACAGAAGCTAGCTGTTGCTAGGGAATGTGCCTTCAACTAGCTCAAAGACTTGATCAGCTGTGCCTGGCAAAGCATAAACAACACACTGCAAATACATGGTGTATGTGCATTTGGGCAGGTGAACATGTGATAGAGATTGTAAAAGTCTTCCATTCTTTGTTGGTTCTGTGCTGGGACCGTAAAGGACTGATACAAGGGATGCAATAAAAACTTTTCCTCTTTCCACAAATATCATGGCCATGAGCCATAGCCAAAAGTGAGAGCTATTTAAAATCAAAATTGAAAAATGAAAGAAGTTAAATGTAAACTTCAGGCAGAGAATATGATTAAAGCACGGAATTTTAATTAAAGAGACATTAAAATAACTTTTTTCACCCTCATTCTTTTACTTTAGGGAAAACAATGGTTATTTCTTTAAAACACCATCATTACTGTTGCTTTTATTGTTTCACTTCAATAACAGAGGTGTGAAATGTAGAGGGTGGGTGAAAGGGAAGTCTTGGAGGAAATTCTAGCAAGGAATATTCCAATTGGAAACAAGGGAAAAAAATCCTCACCATCAGGGTGAAAAGTTTCATGGGAAATGGCCCTAAGCAAATGAGTATAACTTTATTTTGGCCATGTTTGGGTTGGGATGGCTGGTTGAAATGTCCTTCAGAGGTCCTTTCCAACCTGAGTTAGTCTATGGTTATACGAAAGGGTATCTGTGTGGCCTGACAGCAGGCAGTCTTGAATACTTATTTTTGTTGAAGGTCACTAAAGCCAACTGACTTAGAAGGAAAATCTGAGGAAAGACAACATGTTTGGCCAGATTAGCTTTGGTACAAAACTAAAAACTTGTCAAACATTTTGGAGGAATGTCTTCATCTGAGCTGTAAAATCTCTCCATTTCCTCCTCTGTTAACAATCTATAAAGAAAAATCTTTTGCCAAAACTTAGTCTTTATTAATAAAGGAAGAAAGGTATATAAAAGAGTAAAATAAAATAAAATCGATTCTGTAACAAGAAAAAAACAGAGGTTATGCAACAATGCACTTTGGCAAAGTTAACTCCATATTTGATGCTGTAGGTATAGAAAGGTGAGAGGGACCTTAAGAGCTGAAACTTTGTTGTATAACTGAGCAAAATTACTTTAAAAGTATTAACAGCCAGCAGAAATCTTAGATGACTTGTAATAAAACTAGTTCTTGAAAGAGAGCAAAGGCCAAGCTGAGTTGAATTAGAGCCTACCACCATTTCTCTAGTGGTTCAGAAAATGCCTCCCCTGCAGATTAATTTCTGCAATTGGAAGAATTCTTTTGAACATGACCATTGAAAGGGTCGTCTGCCTGAAGACAGAAATAGAAACAGCTGGTCAGACTCCAGAAATTAAGTTCTTCAGGTTAGAGAGGAATCTTACAGTTGCCCTAAGATGCCTCTAGCACAAATCCTACAGCTGATAAAAGACTGGCATAACCATATCTGAGCCAATTTTCCTAGCCCTAGGCAGTACGGTGGGCAGATCAGATCAGAAGTGATGTTTCAGGTCCAAATGAGACGTAACTGAAAAGCTGCAACATCATCCCTCTAAAGTAAAAATTAATTCTGAGACTAATAATGAATGTCATTTCTCCTGTCTCTTTCCACACTGACCATTTTTGCCAAAACATCCCTCTGGAACTGCAGTCAGAGCTATTTTAGCAAACACTGCTTCTGACTGCAACACATATAAGTAACTCTGCATCCCAGGCTGACTCAGACCTTACTCATCCTCACTAGGGAGCCAAGTAACTGATTTTGTGCGATTTTTGCTCTAGTTCTGAATATTAAATAAGATTGGATATATTTTGAAGGGGCAGAAAAACACGGGCTGCATAATTAAACTCTGTGAAACTTTAACAAATTCAATTTGTACTCCGTTGCTATATCCACTTTTGTCCTTTGCAATACTTACTCCAGTTAATCTCCTGAGAATAGAGATTTGCTCCAGAGAAGAAACAAATAATTTAGAGGAAACTATAAAAAACTTATCTGTTAGAGACTCACTCATCATTTGTAAGAAGATTTAAAGGTGTAAAGGCAGCTTCCTGAAACTCTGATTAATTGATAACTTTGCAGCTCGTTAGGGGGCAGGGGTCATATCTTTTCACTCTCTGGGAAGCATCTGACACACACTTACTGTTATACAAATAAAAATAATGAACCATCACAGTGGTAACCAACTTGATATTCCCAGATGCTTCTTAAACAGGTGATTAGGGTGTATCAGAGAGAGAAATTATTTAAACCAAAACAAACCTCTCAACACTCTGCCTTTTGTAATTTATTTTCTTGTGACCACAGCGTCTTCTGCTTGCACATGCTGACTAGCACTGTCACTGGTAGGACCACTGGAGGTTGAGTGTGGCAGGGTACCACCCAGCAAGAGAAAAGGCCGTAACCTCCTACCCCAAACCCATGTAATCTAACAGAAAAGAGACTGCGGGGTGCGTTACGTGGGTTACTCACTGCTCAGCTTCGATGCTCTGGTCGGCAGCTATGTAGTTGGCAGGGATGTAGCCCTGGAGCTTGCGGCCAGGACAGACTGACCCTGTTGGCAGGAGGAGCCTAGCGTACCACCAGCCCTCGTGGGACGCATCCAGCACTTCAAGCTTATCCCCGGCTCGGAAGCTCAAGTCCTCCTCAGTGCGAGCCTCGTAGTCAAAGAGTGCCACAAATCTGCAAATATTCACCAAATGCTGGCCAGGCAGTGGAGGTAAAGGTTTCTCTTTTATCTTACTGTCTCTGTCTTTCTGTCCTGCTTGGAAGTCATGCCTTATCACAGCAAGGTTGGCGAAGACTTGGCCACCCTTCTCATCCTGCTCACCGTCTCTCCCTGAGAATAAGCAAGGGATGTAGGGCTGCAAACAGGCGCAGTGCTTCTGACAAAAGTTTCCCATCCTGGCTCCTTGTGCCTTCCTCTGCTTCTGCTTTTCTTTCGCTTTTCCCAGTTGCGATACTCTTAGACCAATTTTTGCACCATCAACATTCTAGCGTTTTGCAGGATTTCTTCTCCCCCTCCTCCTTTGGCACAAAATGAAACAACTCTTGGCACAGCTGGAAGCTCCTCTCCAAGCCCCACTGAGAGCTCATTACAGGTGGCTCCTGGATCGGGAGTGAAACCTGAGTATCCAAGTGCTGGAGCACATGTGGAGGGAATTTCTCACTTCCTCTTCGGAACAGGAAAGCAACACAACCGCTGGGCTGGGCTGAGCGCCGGGAAAAACGGGGGAGCGTGGAGCCTCTTCTCCCACAGCGAAACAATAAAGTCAGAACATCTAAGCAGGGGAGGCTTCTCAACTCTTACTGCATGGGATGGGTTTTTTCTTATCTCAGACAGGGTCCTGTCATATGATCAGTAAACGTCCGTAGTCTGTCTTGGTAATGATTAACCAAGCTGACCTGCCTGTTTCCTTAGCAGACTCCGACGTGGACAGCTTGAATATTTCTTTTTGTTTCCTGGTTTGGGCTGTTCTCGGTTCTCGGTGGGAAGCCTTTGCTCGCCCGAGGCCGGCAGACGCCCTCACCTGGAGCGCACCTGCAGCTTCTGCTCTTGCTCACACCCGGGAGCTTTCCCCAGCTGAGTGCCCGCCCTTCAAACCAGTCCTCTGGCTTCTTGGTTTTTTTGAGCTGGGTTTGGCACTTCTTGGAAGGAAAAATAAATGTTATGGGGTTTACAGTAATATAGCAATAGATTTTAATTCATTCTTTATTCTGCATTTTAAGGAAACAAAGGCACTAGCCAAAAAATTGCTCTGGGTGGTCAGCAAATTATACCAACCACATATAAAAAAAAAGTCTGTCTTCCAGTCACCAACTAAGCCAATGAAACTAAGTCGACCGGTATATTCCCATTTGTAAAGCACCTATAACCTGGCATACAGACCGAGCACAGGTGTCTGGAGACAGCTGCGGCAAAGCAGCCTGGAGAGGCGTCTGCCACATCCCAGCAGTGCGGCCCAAGCTTTGTAACAGCTGGAAATCACCGCAGCCTGCGGGACACGTAATGCTTGGAGCAGGAGCAGGAAGCACAGGAGATAGCCTGTCTGCACCATGCGGTGGCATTTCAGTAAGAGGCAAACCCTTACAGATAAGAGGTCGAACAAAACCCACACGTGGACCTACAGCTTCCTGGTGATAATGAAAACTGGCTCCCATAATTTTTTTTTTTTTTTTTTTTGTCAGGAATAACTGCTGTCTTCCTAAACCATTCACACATGTTTCTCAGCTCCATTTAGAGTTGCTGACTTTTGTTTCTTTACTTTACTAGGAAAAAACCCAACTAAATAACTTAGAAACCAAAGCGACTTGTTTTCACCATGTCTGTCAGTCAGTTCTTTGAATGAGGAGACCAGTGGCACAGGCAGAAGCCTACTGATGGACTAGGGACTGTGGGATGACTGAAAGAAATCTCCACTGAAAGCTTATCACTATCTGGTGCATATCCACTGAAGAAGGATGGGGAATTGCCTTCTCACTCCTCTTTTGCAATGTTGCAAAGGAAACTGAATAAAGAAGAAAGTACCATGCACATTAAGTGATCACTAAACCTCATAATCGGTAGTGAACCCTTTGGGCCTGATCAAAAAATGGCATATTGATTTTGCAGATTATGAAAATCATATTTAGTTTATGAAGCACCACTAGTTTTTTTTACAGCAATTATTAATCACTACCCAGATCAATAAGAACACAGATATCCAAGAGATACTTCCTTTTCTTAGGTCTGATGGACAATATCCAAAGTCAGGAAAGGCCTGTGTTGAAAAAGAAACTATCTTCATTAGTCTTGCTTCAAGAATTATCTACATTTACTGAAGCCAGAGAATATTAGCAAAGATGTATTAAATAATCTGGTTTTTTTCAGTTTGCATATTTGATAGTTTTCCTGTAATGTTTTGTGGTTCTGGCAACTTGGGCATTAATCTGGCAAAGATTTGCATACACATTTACTGCACAGAATAGTTTCATCATGACAATGCAGCCACTTACGTCATACAGAATCAATCTCATGCACAGCTCTTTTCAGGATCAAGACTCATCTTTACACTCAAGTACCAATATACATACACATTAGAAAGCACACTGCATTCACTGAGACCACTCAGATAAATATTTATAACTGTAGCTAGAATGGGGTTTAAGCCTACAAATGTTTGTGTGTATGAATATCTTATATCAAATAAACCCAGGCATTAAATTCATCTTCTCTCCCAACTTCTGCCCGTGCTTGGCTTTACAAGACCAGAAAGACTTTTGCTGGAAGTGATCAATAACTATAAATCAGATTACTTTCCTCCCAACCAACTCTTCAGGATGAGTTCTATTTAAGAAACAAGTAGACTTTAACAAATAGCCATGAAATTCATCAGTCAGATTTAAAACTCTCCTCAAAAAAAGAGAGGAGTGGGGTTGCTGAGAACTGCTGAGTAGATTCCCGAGCCCGTGTATGGCAAGACCGTGGCTGAGCTGTGGTGGCCACGCTGCAGCCGTGCCTCTGCAAGGATCTTTGTTCCCATCCTGGTGACTTTATTGAGGATTCTCTGCATTTCTGAAAATAAAGCAGTACTCCTTATGTTTTAGAGACTACATAATTTTATCACAGGCAAGAAAAAAATGAAAATGTAATAAAAATGTTCTTGCCGGTTTTACTGAAAAAAAAAAAATCTGATAAATCCCATAATCCTAATTTTCATGCTCACAGTTTGCAACAAATAAGGATAATCATGTATATTCAGGGGCTTTTCAATATAAACTATTGTCCGAGTCCTCTGCACTGCTATTACATACAATTTAACAGGATCATCTTTGCAGCACCTATTTCTGGGCTTAATTTAGTTCTTTTGCCTTGCATCCCACTATATTTTCTTTTTGCAAAAGAAGGCATTGCTTACTGGCCTTCTGTATCTTTACTTAATTTGTTTTGGAGACTGAGTGTCAAACAAGAAATTGTCCAAATAAATAAGCTACTGGGTGTAAAGTGACTGTGAAAGACTTAATCAGATATATTGATGAATTTTATTAGCAAAAATGCTTTGAGAAGGACACAAGAGTCTCACCTCATTCTTACAGCCAGCAATAGCTAGGGAGAAAGATGAATATATTATGACCAGAATGGCACATTTACAGTATGGATACTGAAATTTAGTATTCTGGTCCCTATATTATTTTAAAAAATCATTAATATTGCAAGTAGTTTCTTGAAATGTACAACACCTTAAAACAAGGATGGATCATTTACAATCTGTGTCTGACAGGATCATATAAACTTAGATTTTAGAAAAGGAAACAAATTATTCAATCAACTAGTAATTTCCCCCTTCAAACTAGGCAATTCCCCACTGCTTTTAAAGTGTATTTCCTTGTTCCATAAACAAAAAAGTCCACACTGATGCTATAGGTTTGAGGATGACAGATATCTGAAGTTACGTTTTATATTCTATATGTTGCTTAGAAAGTCCTATATAAGTAAGACTCTTGCAAGGAGCCTTACCCCTGCTTAGAGGATTAATTTGCAGTCCTCTAAACCCATTAAATCAAATTCTAATTAACTTAAAGTCAATATTCTTTAGGCTTTGTTTATTCTCCAAAACAATCATGTTTAAACATGGTGGTGAAACATATTTCTCTTAGTCGCCTGAATGGACAGAAAAATAATGTGTTAATATGGTATGTTTTAGTAAGCCCAGTACAAACCTAATCTGCAACACTGATATTAATTGAAGTGCACTTGGAATGAGGTACTGCTCTGCATGAATTAAGGTATCAGACTGAGTTGTATTAAATAAGTACAGATAAGATTTGAATCCATAACATTTCAATAGTCTTGTTTTGATAGAATTTTTATTTGTGTTCCATGCTTTCAAAAAGCATTTTGTATGAGTTTTCATTAAAGATATTTCCTGTGTTTATTGATTTGTATGTGCTCTGTATGGAACTATTGGTATAATTACATAAAACCTTAGAGTTTTAGAAAAATGAACCCTCCTCCACATCATAAATATGCTGCTCCATATTTCAGAGCAGGGATTGAACATCACTAAGCATCAGGCTTTGGTACTAATGATACATGATGTTTGAAACAATTCCCCTATGCCATGCAGAGAAGAATTACGGTCAGAACGGTAGTCTGCTGGGGAAAAAAGAATATTCCAAGGCAATATCCACCAACAGTTTTGTTAAGAAATATGAATCAGTTCAAACTGGAAATTGAAAAAGAGGGTGTTTTTTCTTAATAATAAGATGAGATCACAACAGAAAAAACATTTTCCTCCACTATTTTTTCGAACGTTGTAAACAGGAAAAAACTGCATGTGGGAAAACAAGAAATTAAGATATAAAATACAAGAATCATAATTAAATAATGTATGAAACTGCTGCCTGTAGCATCACCTTCTATATTGTATAATCTTTTTGAAGTCAGTAGTTATACTGCTGCATTAATATATGCTAATTTAAATATTTGACATAATATACTTTGCTTAGAAAAACTTCTTAATGCATTATGATAAGGCAAGTCAAATGTTCTAGCAAAGTAAAATGTTCAAATAATATGATCTTTAAAGAAATAAGAAGAAAAGCAAATGCATACTCCTCTGAATCTGTGCTTGGGAAATTATTTCAATGATTAAACATTTTAAAGTTGTGTTGGTTTTTTAGGGTAACAAATTGAAATGAAGCACAGTGGTTTTTTTATTACAGCTGTCTTTTCAGCTATATTTCTTTCCACTTGCACATTAGAATGGAACACATTACCACCACTTTGTAGCTTTTTTATAATCCTTTTAATCAGCACTTCCATTTTGTTTCTGTAATTTGCAAATTGCCATTCTTTTCAATGAAAATAAATTATGCGCGTAATTTTACTCTTGACAAAATTGTTTACTCTTATTGATTAATC